GTAAATAGATACACACACACACGCACACACAAACACACACACACAATTACAAAATATAAATTTATACCTTCTTTAGAGTTGAAAGCATGTTTTAACAGAATTTCGATGTTCGATAAGGAGACGAGATAGATGAAATAGTTGTAAAAAGTAGCCTATAACTAAACATTAAATCGGTTTAATTGCGTTTAAATTTAAAGATAAAAATATGTAGTTAGCGGACTAAACAATTGCAAAAAATGCACTAATGAGGATGAAACTAAAAATAACTGAGCCAATGTGATGTGCTTAGGAAAGCACTGTGAACACTATACCTATGAAAAGACGTCATCCAACTTTCTAAAGAAATCCGAAGATCAACTTCTTACCTGAAAGCTTCTGCTCATCAAATAAACATTGCTTTTATTCAATAAACACTTGAATAGTAATTTTTTCTAATATTATTACTTATTATTATTATTTTTTAAGTCAAAAAAAAAAATAAATTCCAATACTCAAGTCTTAAAGCACTAGTATATCTGAGGCTATTAGCTTCATCGGAAACTCTACCACACTTGGCACGCGACCAATAAGTTGTTAGTCGATCTCCTTTACCTACTAGACCATTCGGACGAATAGAAAGTATGTGAAATGCTAACCTAATCTGTTCAAATGCTTACCTATTCTAAAATAAAGAACTCAAGTTTGCTCTGCGCTTTATAGTCGGAAGATATCGACAAATTTTCTTCCAAAAATTCTATATATCTTTCTGTTAAACCAATCGGTGACAGGAATATTTTAAATGTATGAATAAATCAAATGTGTACAGTATAAAAAAATTGCGGGAAGAATAATTAGGATTTAGGTTGACAAACAGCGATGTTAGGATGACCAATTAGTTTATGATAAGTGCTTCAGATAGCCTGCAATAAGGTTTTCCATGTCTTTAAATTCGGGATTCTTCAATTCATTTCTACAATTGCTAATTACTAACGAGAAACTACTTGCTTTATTGATAAATGAAAATTTCCATTTCGAATGCAAAACAAGGAATTAATCATTGTGTATATAAGTTCTCTTTTTCTCTCTGTCTCTCTCTCTCCCTCTCCCTTTCTCCCCCCAAGCCCCATCATCCTAACCAAACGAAATCACCCTCTTTTTCTCTTTTCCCCCCTCACCAACTTTTTTTATAAACATATTTCTCTCTCTTTCTCTCTCTCTCTCTCTCTCTCTCTCTCTCTGCCATTTGTCTTTACAAACTCTGTAATGCTTTCATTCCAGCATGCATAATCGTGTTGAATCATATTTTACTGTCAATTTTATTCTTGGGCTGTCAGTATCAATTGTTCAAATTGATTGCTATTAATGCTCACTGTACCATACATCGTTAACATATATTCGATTGCAGTCATGCATACGAAAAGTTGTGTAATAGATGAACGCTATTATGGTATAAGCGGCATTTGCGAAAAGAAAAATGTATGAAAAAAGGTTTTCCTTGCAGAGAAAGTCAATATAAAGAAGTGGACGAAAGTCTCATTTTCGACACGATGATACATGTATATATATACATTGATATTTAAACATATCCATATATATAAGTATTCTGTGTGCTTCAGAGAGAAATAAGAATTAATTGTTCTAAGATATGCATCGCGATATCTATACACTACACCAGGGAAGTATAGTATAGTCATTTATTGTAAGCGTTTGAAATAGAAGAAGCTTTAGAGGTCCTACACAACACACACATTTATGATTAATATTAAGTTTGGAGTTGATTTAGGTACGTCCTTCCATTTGTTCGTTTCTACAATGTGTGTGTGGTAAACTAGAAGAAAATTGCGCCAAATCGAACTAAGAGCATACCCGCTGAGCACTCTGCGAATTTTTAAAAACTGTCGTCCCAATATTCGTTGCAGGTTCTAAAGAAAACTTATAGAAAATCATTGGGTTAAGTTTTCATATTTTTATTATTCTTCCTCTTGACAAAATGAGACCAATGTACAAAGATTACATGGTAAAGACTTACAAGAACAGTTCACTAAAAGACGACCTTACCACACTTAAAATACTCAAAGGAACTCAGTGCCATCGCACTTACCTATAATGTGTCCCACTTCCTTCACTTAAAGGAAAGATGAAAAAGAAACCTTACGAGAAGTCAATAAAGTGTTGCAACAATAGGACAAAATTAACGAATGACTTTTGTTAAATAAGTCTTTTGTTATACTCTTCAACATTCTGATCCATGTGAATAGAGCCGTGAAATGTTTACATCTTGTTTTTTTTTTTTGTTTGTTGAGATTAACTAGGCTGGGCGAATGAGGATGGCTTATATGTCCACTCAAAAAAATTTCGCAAAATAGATAAAGGAAAAGCGCAATGTTAAAAATCGAGTTATTGTTTAACCCCTGAATGCATATTGTTGCCAATTGTCTACATAAAACATTAATTTTAAAATTAAGTGGAACTGAAATGTAGACATTTGGAGACAACATGCATTTAAGGGTTGAAGCGATTCGAGCACTTATTTAATAAATTTCGATAGTGACGCGCCACGCCACCTTTGGTTTAGCGTAGAAACTTTCCATTTGAGATCACTTTAATCAATATTTTCTATTTACGTAATATTTATCGGAAGCTCGCTTCGCAATGACTATATAGCTTTTTTAATTTCACTAATTATTTGAAATTTGCTAACGGGTTATAAGCAAATAAATACGTGGCTCTGCAAAGCGATACAATAAAAAAGCAAAATTATTTCAACACGCGTATGTGGCTTTGACAATTATTGTCTTTTTTAGTAAATTTTTCAATATTTATTTTATGCTTGTTATCTGGTTAACAAAAACTGCCACCACACAATAAATAACAAGTTCTCAAAACAAAACTAGTTTTATAAAAATTTGTTTGTCTTAAATGTCACCAAAATTTTGTATTAAAGATTTTACATTAACTTTGCATTCATTGAAATTATTTCTTTTTTAAATTAAAATAATTTATTAAGATCGAAATACAATAAATTTAAGTCTTATTAAGTCTTATATATTCAATTAATTTCCCCCTGCATTCGTAAAGAATTTCAAATATTTACAAGCTTTAGAAAGAATTCGAATATGTCTGTGACAGTTTTACACGTCTTTGCATATATTTTTATTATAATGTATATAATGAATTTATTTATATATTTATGTATTAGGTCATCTCATAAATAACGCGGCATTTTCAAATATCTGTTTCATTCTTCAAGATTAAGTTAAACGAAACAATTTTTTAGATTGATATACGACATCTCTGTTCTAAAATGCTTTGTCATTTTTTTCGAAAGCTTGTTATTAAAAACGCCTTGGTCAAGTTCATGACAGTCTACATTTTATCCTTCGTTACTCGTTCACCAAGTTATTATTATTTTTTTTTCTTTTTTTTTTTTTGCAGTTAATCTTAACCCTAATCGAACCACGAAATGTCTTTAAGTCACATCAGAACATTGTACTTACATTTTTTGATTATTTCATAGCACACTTTGGAAAAAATTGTTATACCTTACATCAGTTATGGTACAATGGGATATTGAGTTTTTTCGACATGTATGCAACACCCAGATTAGATCCACTGTTAATGTACAATACGATTTAAAACCGCTTTCTGAACCGATTTTAGCTTGTCTGTCCGTCTGTCCATTTTAGATAGTTGTATTCAACGTACAGGCCGGAATTTTTGAGATACTTTGACAAAATTTGATATACTAAAGTGCTTTGGTGCAAGGATGAACGCTATGGAGGATGATTCGGATTCGGATACTTTTCCAAACACTTACCATATATTTGAAAAAGTGGTTATGTGAATAACTTTTAGCGTTGCTAAATTTTCTAATTTTTTTTGGCAAAATACAAATTTTATCTTAATTGCCTCTGTTTGGTTCACATAATCTTACGAGCTGAGAGAAATGTAATAGCGAAAAAATGCGACATAACGATTACGTACGAATCGCAGGGCTCCAAGGAACCGAAATTAAATTTCTTACGCACCACCTCCACTCCATAATTTACAGAGTGTCTTCAATCAGGTTAGGCCTGAACTCGAGCCTGAAATCTTTTATAGCCAACATTGACTACAACTTGCATGATGAATGAAGTAAAAATGTAAAATTTCTTTTTAAGAATTACTCTGAATTCTCAAGTTTTTTGCTGCCTTAGAATAATTGGTTAAGCGTTGTTAATGCTTTTTTAAGTTACTGGAGCTATAAAGGAGCGATATAAATCCCTTCCCTGGCTTCTAAACGGACTTACAACTTTCTCAGACGCCGGTTCAAGTCAATCCTTCGAAACAGTTTCTTGGTGATCACTTCTCAATGCCGACTACAGGATGGCGTTACGAACCGAAGAAGGTCGTGACATTCATAAGGGCTTTAATGCTGGAGGGCTATTCGCATGGCAACAATTGAAGTACAGACTGCTTATAATAAAAAATATTGTTTCCATTCTTCAATTATGAATAGCTTTTACAATGTAAGTTATAGTTAAAAAAAATTAAAATTTGATTTTTTTTTTTTCATTTTATTTCACGAGAAAATAACGACATTAAAACAAAGACAGGTGGTTTTTTTTGAAGACAATAATCTATAATTGATTACACAATCGACTCACTTTTAATTACTTTCATTATACTTTCTCTTTCGCTCTTATAAGTAAACTGATAAGGGGGAAAAATTAAGCATCATTATCTATGAACTCATTGATATTTTAGACCCTCACTTAGAAGCTTCGAATGGTCAATCCATTATAAATCGTGTCATATAGCTGTGCAAACTGTTTATCTTACATATCCCCCCCCCCCCCCCTCCATCTTTCCCCCTCTCTCTCTCTCTTTCGGCTATTTAGGTACGACCGCACCATATACATTTGTTGTTTCGTATTCCGAGATAAAAGTTTAGTCAAGTTTCATGAGTTAGGCGTATGATGATGAGGTAGGTGATGATGATGGGGTTAAGAGCTGAAGCAATATGCAGAATACATGTTCGGTTTTAACCAAATCTATCATCATTTGCGGGATTGTCGATAATACTGGGAAAGCTTAATACGAAAATTTTATAACTATTTGACTGTCAATATAAAGTGCGTGTGCTGTCATCAAGTCAGCTAAACATAAAAAAAAGAAAGAAAAACGAAAACAAAGACAAAACTATTCTTTCCCTACCATTTCCATGCAAGCCGCCTTAACAGTGGGATATTGAAATCGAAAGCCGCTACTTGAAGCTTTGTCAGGGTGAATTTTAGCTCCGTTTAATAATAAAGGTGACCGCTCATCGCCATATAAGAATTTGATCATTGTTTCTCCCATCGTAAAAACACATGGTCGATTAAATGCGGACGCGAACGTTTTTGAAAATTCTTCATTTGTTATAATTTCGGGTGCAACAGCATTAACAGGTCCTTCAATCTTTTTATTTTCTATGCAATATTGTATTAGACCACATAGATCTTCCAAATGAATCCAAGGGAGGATTTGTTTACCGCTACCCAATCGACCGCCAAGTCCCATCATGAACGGCCGCCATATGGCTCGAATCAAGCCACCTTCTCGACCTATTACTAAACCTGTTCGCAATTTAATCGTTCTAGTGTTTCTAGCAGTATCCTCGGGTAGAGTGGCTGCCTTCTCCCATTCTAAGCATAAATTTGACAAAAAATCATAACCTTCAACTCTGTCCTGTTCAGAGTAAATTTTCAACTCATTCGGCTTATAATGACTAACGCCGATAATATTGATATACACTTCCACATCATGAGATTTTTGTATGGCCTTGACCATATGGGCACTTGAATTGATCCGAGAATTCCATACATTTTGTTTAAAACCCTCGGTCCAAGGATGCAATGGGTTTAAAACATTTTCTCCGGCCAAATTTACTACAGACGTAACACCTGACGGTAAGCCATCTTTTTGCAACTTATGCCACGTAATACTCTTGCGACCAGGCAGACGAGAGACTTTTGTCACTTGATAGTCCCGCTCTAATAAATGTTTGGCGAGATGCGAACCAATAAATCCGGTACCGCCGCCGATTAAGGTGTGCTTGCCCATTGTGTTATAATAAAATGTTCTTTTCGAATAGGATTATTTTGTTTTCGCAAAAACTCTACTGAATAAATAATTATTAAAAATCGACAAAGTGATGGAATATGAATGATCAGTATTCAAGATTCCATCTGCAGCGATTTTTTACTTAAATTTTGATTTTTTTTTTTTACTTAAGAAAAAGTTGAACAATTTTCCGAAAGTAGATAAATAGTATTAAACAAAAAAAAAAGAGTTTTTTTTCAATAAGTCTCGATTTTGAAATGTCATCGTACGTTCGTTCCTTCCTGATATTTATTACTTTTGACATTTAAGTATATAAACAGAGTTAGTTTAGCAGAACTAAGAATTCATAAGCAATGTTTCAATAAATATTTAATATTATTTAAATAAATTCAGATTAAAAATTTATAGAATTACAATACAAACGTGAAAGAGAGGTCGTGTTCGCTCAGTCGCGTTCTGTTATCTGATTTTTATTCATATATGCTTTCTAGAAAAAAATCAATATAATTTTTATTCAAGAAAAACTTCCTGTATGCATGCGTTTTGAAAAGTTGCGTCGATTGTCATTTTAATTGTTTTTCAAACGGTAACGGGGTAGTAAAAAATTTTTCCAACTTTATTTGGATATATGAATAAGCCTTACGTTGTACAGAATAAAACAAGAAGGCTGCAGTCGAGCATGGTCTAATACAGTCATTTAGTCAATTAGTTAATAATACACCAAAAAATAATGCATTATTTTTATCGAAATGCATAATACTTAGAAAAGCTCCCATCCTGAAAACCGTAAACTAACGTAGTCTAAATTTATTAAACTTAATTTACTTGTTAGAGATTTTACTATTTTTCAGTTTGCCGCCATAGAAGGACTTGCCTCGTTTACAGTCCGTATATATGGTCTGATATGATCTAAAATAGTATGATATGGTATGATCTAAAAAATAGATTTATTTGATCCAAATTACCAACGAATAATTTACTGAGGACCAAATTTCATCGTAAAATATAAAAAATTGGACACTTGGCTTAGTTTATCATTACAACGTTTATATGAGTTGGAATGCAAAAAATAGACCAACGTGATTCAAATTTGATGAGGTTAATTTTTAAGTCAATTCATTGTTATAAATCAATTTTCATCAAGAAATATTGAAAATTAGATTATTTTGCCATAAGAAGATTGAGTTTCTGTACGAACGCTTATATGGGAAAGGGGTTAGAAAAACTGCCCCATTCGATCCAAAGTGTTCATACCAATTTAGAAAACTGAAACACTATTACTAAACGAAATCCTAAAAATTGCTCAACTTTTTCACGTAAAGACTTGTTCAAATAATAATCACATTGGATATGATCGAAATGTTGATTCGATCCGAACCATTTTCAAAAGGATTCATCCTTGGGCCAAAGCACAGCGGTGTACCAAGTCTCACTTAAATATAGCAAAAACTGCAACCTGTAGTTTGAACACAAAAAATAAGATGGACAGATGGCCAGATAATCTGATATTTTTTCAAAAATTGATTCAATATTGGTGGGTACAACCAAAGGTGGATATATTCCAAATCAAATACATATGTCCGCACAAACATAATATACCCTCTACCACAAGTTGGTGTAGATTTATGGACAAACAGTTATTATAGAATATCAAAAATTTGATATGTTTGTCATATAAAAATGCAGTTTTTATTTGAACCTTTCAATGGGCTTGGACGCAAGAAACAGACCTACATAGTCTAAATTCGCTACGGTTAATTTCGATTATACCAAATGATTTTATGGTCCAATTATTTCACTGAATAAATATAGTTTAGGCCTCTTCAGTAGATGAAGATCCACTCATCACCGTCCTGCGGGTAAATATGGCACATTAATTTATCCTAATACAAAGGTCGATTATAATGTCGATCAAGTGCGCACAAGCGGATATACACGAACCTCTACAATTATTCAGACATATCAGCAAACTCACGCACAAGATAAGAAACAACACAGTTAATGCACAACATGAGTCTAGAGCAGAAGAACTGGTGTCGCCTTTTCTATGCCAAGATGAAATCAATAGATTGAAGCAAGACGGAGACGTCACTTGACTACTTTCAACATTGAATTCTATTGAATTCTGGGGAAATTTTCATGTCATTTTCTCCCAATGTGTCGATGTGTGTGTAACCTACTCTCCAAGTTCTTTTATTTGATATTCATACTGAAAACCAAAAAAAATCCCGTCACCTTATGGCAATTAAAAAGTTATATGTGTTGTACGCTTGGATGAAATTCCAGCCTCCTTGGATCCATGCCTACGCTCGAAATATGAACTGAAAGTTTCTAAGTTCACACACGAAAGAAAATTAAATAAAAAGTCGTTGAAAATACTTTGCATTGGTTTTCGAAATGGATTTTTTCTAGTAGGCCATTAGTTCAGTGTTTTTGTCGATTTTTTGTAATGGAAGAGCTTAAGGATTTTTCTCATTATAGACTAAAATTTGCTGATTTTCGTAATATTTTTTCAAGTACTTTTTGTGCAATTTTTGCAAAATTTGCAAAGCAAAAAGAGAAATAAGTAAATATAAAGAAGTGAAAGCAAATATGTCAGAAAAATTATGTGATTATGTAATTAAGGAAATGCAAAACTTGACGTGTAAGCGTGTGAAAGAGTTAATGGAAATTTGGGTGACAATGTTTGATGAAGACTCGTGCAAAGAGCATTCGAAAAAGCTCATCAGCCATACTAACGATTTCTATCAAGAATTGCTTGAACAATCTCTCTCACGACGCTCGAGTATTCGATTAGACATAGGTAACTTGGAAGAAGAACTCAAAAATTTAAGCAGTTTGCTGGAACTAGAGATTCAGTTGCCCCATTACCAATACGATGAAACGCCTTTGACGATAGTCTATTGCGAACTCGATCGCAATGTGACGAATTTACGCGAAAAATTGGAAAAGAAGCGCGCACAAGTTTTTAAATTGCTTGCCGAACAAAGAGTTCTATGTGATGAACTCGATGTGTCACCATATCTTCTTGTTTCCGATCCTCTACCGAAATCTTCAGATATTGATGCTTTTCGTAAGCATTTGGAAAATCTATACAACCAAAGAGAAAAACTTTTGGAAAAATTGCCTATTATGCAACGCGATATTCAGAGCTTCCTCGACATTTTGAATTTAAAATCGCTTTCAGACGACGAAAATCATTTGCTACATTCTTCCCATGTAAAGTTAAGTAAGGAAACATTCGAAGGTCTGCGCCGCATGTACGATTTATATGGTGGTCAAGTAAAAGAACTTAAGGATAAAATAGATGACATGCGCGGAAAACTCGAGACTGTATGGAGTCGCTTAAATACCTCGCCAAAGACACGTTCAAAATTTCGTGCTTGTACCGAATACAATCAAAATACCTATGACGTCCTTTATGATGAGTTGCAACGTTGTGAATTGGCCAAGAGACATAATATCAAAATGTATTTGCAGCAGATACGTGACGAAATAAATGATTGGTGGGATAAAACATTGAAATCTGAGGAGGAGCGAAACCGATTTTTAAATTTCCGAAGTAATTGCTATACGGACGATCTATTGCACCTACACGAGCTAGAATTGAACGATTTGAAATCATTTTATGAGAACAATCGCCAGCTGTTTGAATTGTTCGCAGACCGTAATATATTATGGTGTCGGATGCAAGCTTTGGAGGCTAGAGTCTCTGATCCGGGCCGCCTTAGCAATCGCGGCGGTCAATTATTGAAAGAGGAGAAGGAACGCAAAACTATAGCCAATAAATTGCCGAAAGTTGAGCAACAAATACGAGACTTGGTAAGCGTGTATGAGAAAAGAGAAAATAGTCACTTTTTTGTTTATGGGAAAAATATAATTGATGTCATGTCTTCTCAGTGGGAGGAAAAGCGCCTTGAAAAAGAAAAATTATTATCGGCTCGTAAGAATACTGATAAACCTGCTAGTTTTAGAGGCAACAACAGCACCATCGTTAAACGAGCGGCAATGACTTCGAAATGTGCCGGTTCTACCTTGTCATTGAAGGAAATTCCCTTGAAAAATTGTGTGCAAAAAACATCCTCTAAAGCAGATTTAAACTCGGCAGCGCGTAATTTAGCTGGTGAAGCGCATAAATTGAACAGAATAGAAAAGGTTGAAAAAGAAAATTTATTATCGGCCCGTAAAAATTCTGGTAAAACATCTAATTTTAAGGGCAACAATAACAACAGTACGGCTAAACGAACACTGATGAAAGTAGTGACTTCGAAATATGCAGAGTTTTCTTTATTATTGAGGGATACTCCTTCGAAAATCGCAAATTGCCTGCAAAAGACTTCATCTAAAAAAAATTTTAACGCAGCCGTGCAAAGCTTAACTGGCAGGAAACGCAAATCGAATGGAGTAGAAAAGATAGCACCCGTAACTAAGCGCTGTCTAATGCAAGAGTTCAAACTAAAAACTCCATTAAGGGCGAAACACATGATGGCCAGTACTCCAGCCGCGCGTCGCAGTGGATTTTTTAAGAAAGTATGGTAATAATAATCTTTTTCTTACTATCACTCCCAACCATCAACAACAATGATAATCGAATATATACCTTTAGCGGGGGCGCTGTCCGGGCCGTTGATGAAGACACTTATGGCTTATGTAGGTCAGCAAAACCACTAAAGTGAATGTTGTCCAGTGAGCTTGTCTATAATAATGAGAACTTAGATGCACGGAAGTAAACAAATAAACGGCGAAATATTCCAATATTACTCAGAGGAACACGAACAGCAGTCGCAAGGATGGTGGCAACACTATTCCTCCAGTAAAAACCAACGTTACATTCATTATTCGCAGCACTGGCAGCACTCGTTCAACAAGAATTCATTGAATAATTGTTAACAACTTTTTTATATATGCGTTTCTATAAATGTTTTCTTGATTATCTCTGTTATATTTAACATTAGAAGCTAGCGCCTAACAATTATACAACCGTTTGTAATTCAAAAATTATTTTCTTTTTATTTCATTTAATAATGTTTTAATTACTTTAATTTGAGCAACACTTAAAAAAATTAAAGGTTAGATTATGTTAACATAGGGAAAGAAATAGAGAAAGAGGAAAGTTATTAGTGTTAAGACGATTTACAATGAGTGTACATAACAGTTTATAGTACTGATTTAGTGAAAGGTTATAATTCACATATAATACACTTAATGCATTTATTATCAATGTTGACGTTGAAACCATCTTAAGGATATTTTCCCTTAAAGACGTGCAAAAATTTTAATTTTTAACTTTTAGTTACAAAATGTTTACAAATACTTGCAGAGATGCAGAGTAATTTGACAGACAAATGTGTGAGCAACACCATAGAGATGCCACAAAACTCATAGACATGTTGTTGTTTTATGATTTTCGTTTTCGTGACTTCATAACTTTCCCGTATCCTACACTACTTGTAATAAAACGGTTATATTAAATTTGTATGGATATTTGCAAGACCTAGAAAGACTTGACATAGGCTTACTCTATATTATACCGATCAATTCGGAAACTATTTGACCTTGTTTGTCTGTCCTATGTTGTTGCGTTTAACCTACACGCTTCAATTTTCGACATTGACAACGATTCGAATCGGATCACTATTTCGAGCACCACACGGATAACGCATCAATTTCGAAAGTCGTGTTTTGAATAATTGTAGGACAGTGTAGGGTAATTAATGGTTGGCTGTTTTTCATTGTTTTTCCTATAAAATAATTTATTTTGGAGAGTTGCGTTGTGTGATTGTTGCTCCGGAATGACAAATTTGATATAAAATCATTAAAATGCTGACAAGGAAAGAAGGCATTGTGGCCGGCTAGCGATCGACCATAACGGCAGAATACAGGTGTTTACTTATTAATTATGAAAACGTATATGTATATCATAATTTCGTACAAAAATGAACAATAAACCATCTGTTCCAATGTATGCTTCAAGATATATTCCTTTAATGAATCACGAAGAGGAAAAACATTTCGTTTCTCGATGACTGGCCAGTAGTGGCTAGTGTAATTGAAAAGGATGCCTTAAGGCGTCGCTGACATGTGATGAGGATTAGTGCTTTAATGTTGTTGAACGCTTTTAAAAAACTTTTATAAACGACTCAGAAGCGTTAACAAAGTACAATAATTTTTTGGTTTTTTTTATTATGCCGAATAACTGACGGGATAATCCTCTAATCGTTCAACACGTTGATGGTCAGAAAGTAATGAGGTAAGTGAGGATCGTAGTCTAACGAGTCCATGTCCACTTGATAGGTTTTATCTTTATACCGAGTGAGCTCTCGCTACAGCTACGACCAAATCTAAACAATTACTTCATATTCTGTCCGCCATTAAAAATTTTTGCAAATATATTTTATACAAATCTTACCTTATATGTGTTATGCAGATAATAACAAACTTCCAGGAAGTTTAAGATAAAAAATTTTTTTTTTTTTTTTTTTATAAAATTAAAAAGCAAATCATAAAAAAAAATTAAATTTTAAGTAGTTCGCGTTTTTTAGTTGTTCTCATAAACAAACAAACAAAAAAAAAACAAAACAAAAAAAGAACTGTACTAAAATTTATGACTTCAGGTTAAGAGTAGATAAATATTAGCTAATTTCTAGTATAGCGATAATAAAAAATTATTGCATAAAAATCATTTTCAACTAATTAAAAATCAAAAAAAAAAAGTAAATAAATAAATATATATATATATATATATATATATATATATATATATATATACATAAAATAACTTTTTCTAGTCTAAAAAATTATGAGTTAAAACTTGTTCAGTGAGTAAAGTGTATACGTATCGTATATATCAATATCTGAACGACATGTCCAGATATCTAAGCATATGTAACATTGGTATGTGCATAACTATATGTACAAGTTTCTATCATTCGAAGAGTTTGAGTTTTTAATTTTACATTATTTAACCAGTTAACTGGGAACATTTTTTAAATATTTGCCCATTCATCCCTCTGTCAGTCTCGTGCTAATTAACGCAATGAGAATTACGATGGTTAAGGACTTAGGAAGCACGTACTCAGCGGAATATCGCTAAACGTATCCAACAATAAGCAGATTCAACATTAAAGGAACACTTCACCCAGCAGCTGATGATATTTGCTAATCAACGATGTTATGTCCTTAAAGTCGAATTTTGCCTGAACGCCATGTAGTTGATCGACTATAGCTCGACATAGAAATTGTTGTAAGAAATAAACTGTTGACACATAGTTGACACATACTCGACACATAGTCGCCAAAGAAACTAGAGGAGTTGGTACGATTACTAACTGATACACTGGGAGATGATATTGCAGTGCCTGGTGTAAGACTTTGCGAAATGCCTAAGCAAAGTATTGTAATGCTATAAACAAAGTACTTCGCGGTGCAAGATGATTTTTTCAATAGCGACGTTTTGCCTCTTACAGCGGCCAAAACTGAAGTGGTTGGCAATAGCGACCCACTGTCGAAGGTTTTTCATAGTTCCTATTATGAAAGTTGGGTTCGCATATTGCATCGGCCTTTTCAGAGCATTTCAGAGACCGCTGTTCAGAATTCACTTTTCACATGATTATAGAAATTGACAAAAATGACCTAGCCCGCTTGACTTCTGAAGGAGTTTGTAGAAGAACATTGACAGGAAATTACTTTCTTGTAACGATATTTCTATTTGTTATATATATCAAATAAACAAAAAATCATCGCATTTAGCGGGTTAAAATGAGGATTGTGTGCAAATAAACGCCATAAAAAAAGAAAAAAAAAATGTGCGAACTCGTAGCAAGTCTAGTCTACCAGATAGCAAGATAGTAAAGAAAAAAAATTTTATTATTTTATGTATTTATGTTTTTGACGTTAATTAATTATTGCATACAGTTGCAAACGACATAATTTGCGCAGTGCTTTTATTTTGCTTTTCTAAGCCAAAAAAAAAAAAATGTTTATTACCTAAAACATCACAACGCAAATATATTTCCAGAGTTTACATTTTTACAAAGTAACTACAACTTTAGTTAATCGTTAGCTGACCGGTCATTGCATGCGCACGTATGCTTAGCCATACCAAATGGAATTCATAAAACTGGCGGTAAAGAATTCGTTCATGTCTAAGGCACTTGCAGCATTTATAAATGCCGGTAATTGTGAAAGTGATATAAGGCATACATTGCTATCGTTTGAATTATTCCAATATTAGTTTGATTTTTCTGCCTAGACGTATGGAAACGCTTATAAATATGTAGACATTATTTTCGACTATTTTAGCATTGTGTACAAAAGTTAAATTTATTTTCTTCATTCATTCCTAGGATCAGCGCATTATAAGTCCCTTTGCTTGCTTGTAACATATTTATGATTCAAATGCGGTAGACCCAATTCTCTAAAAATTAATTTTTAGAATTTATTTATCTCTGGTTAAATTAATAAAAACAATAACATATTTTAGTTGATAGGTTATATAAAGAAAAAATAAATTTTTTTTAAAATTTTCGATTTAAGTCACTTTTCTGCTCACCGGAGTATAAAAGTGTAATATATTTCATCACGATAAGGTAAAGAAACGGATAATGTGAAGCAAGTAAAAAGACTATAGTGGGCCATGGCCCGTCATTAAATGCCTTACAGTTATTCATATAGACACTTTTCAAAACAAAGCTATCTATGGGAAAAGATTGAAAAATTGGTCCCATGTGAACAAATCTCAATACAGATCTTCCTTGGGCCAAAACACGTCAGTATAACGAGTTTCACCAAAATGTAGCAAAAATTGGGACCTGTAGGCTCAACACGAAAGCTGGACACAAGAAGAATTACTTTCTGAATCGATTGGTATAATGAAAGTAGAGCCTATTAGAAGCTCTTCTGGGTGTTAATATACTCTTAAATGTGCTCTCTGCACGGTATAAAAATTAAAAATTTTTTCTTCATTTTTTATAAAGAAACTTAAGCCGTTTTTATGAAAAAAAAAAAAAGAAACACTCGTACAAGTTTCAAATATTCATGCTTCCGTTCATCTGTAATGAATAAACAAACGCTTAGTATACAATGACTAATAAATAATTACATTTTTTCTTTTAAATTCTCGACTTATACTTATTTCATAATTATCGATACATATGAATGTAAATAATGTATGTTTTCATAGCTTTTCGATGTTGTTGTTTGCAAATTCTTTTTATATATTTTACAATTGCATTTACACATACATACATAAATGCTTGCACATAACTATAAGTTGATCCAATTTTGCGTAATTTCTTAGGCACAACAGCATAATGCAGCGAAATATGGACAACGTAAACGTTTGCTTTGGCCAATAGCTTATTAATTACAATTTTCTATATATGAAGTTATCATTTGTCCAATTTTAACTGAAAATTTAATCTAATAATAAAAGCGCGATTTTTTGCTTATAATGTACATTAGCCAGAGATTTTTGTTGTTATTATTGCCTATGTAATATCCAGAAATGAACATCAGAAAGCTTCAAGAGTATATCTATCAATGTAGGATTATAATACAGTGATAACCAAACTGTTGTCTTATTTGGGCCAGGTTGAAGATGAAAACGCGAAATTATTGTAGGTCATCCATGAAATGATTACGTAAAATGTATAATAGCGATTCTTAATGAGCTCTCCGAAAGTTGGTAACATACTTTGCTTTGCTTTTTCTGCACTCTACATTTGCCAAAAGTTG